TTCATGTTTGGTAAAAAAAATATCGAAATTAATTTATATCTTCTAAACGGTAATAGATAGGTATAGAGAAATAGTATATGAATTTGTTGACAAAGTGATAATGAATCATAATATGATATTATATACGGGGTGTTCCATTTGAACAATCAAAGAAGCCGCTACTTTATAGTAGAAGCGACAACGCCGCTTCGTCTGAAATATTTCAGGCCAGTAGGTCATATTGATTTATGCATACTGTGAATGGGTTCTAGAGCAGTTGGCTAAGTTTGGGACGATACCAATGCATGTGACATCCAAGAGTGTCCAATGTATAGTGAAAAAGTTACTGTTTGCTGGAGTTTTCTCAAGTCGCACGTGCATGCGAATAAACCACAAATCACAGCTATCCTCAAAGCCAATATTACCAATGCCATCAGTCAAATTCAGCCTGCTTCATGCACCACAGTCATAGAAAATTGAACGTGTCTGATGCGCTCAACCCAGAGAATCCGTGGCTGACATTTGAACGATGTTATATTCCACACATCAGTAGGTCTTTCGAATAAATAAAAAATTTCGATGATATCTCACACACACTTTGTTTTATTCAAATTCAAAGATAGGAAGCGTTTAATGAAACACCCCATGAATGCTCTGTTAGTTGTGAGGTAACGGATCAGTAAATTTTGGAAGACACTGAATTGAAAATTGAGAAAAACTCACCCATCAACATCCTTTTCGGTTGCAACAGCGTCTGTGATTAGGTGAGAGTTGATTTCAGTATCAGCATCTAATGGCATCTGCACTATGATTCCATGAATATGAGGACTGATGTTCAGTTCTTCTATTTTATTCAGGAGCTGAAAAATAATATTCGTGATTCATTCCATTTGAGATTGACGTATGGTGTTCAACATCAGAGATATTCGAGACTGAACCATTGACGGCTACATGTAAAATGGTCTTTGAAAAGCATGAAGGGCCACAAAAAATATGATCTTACAAACCATAAGTTTCGCTAACGAAGTCCCATGTTTAGAAACGGATTTGGACTTGATTGAGGATCTGAGCTCTTTGGAGATTTTACCGATATAGGCCTGAGGTCTGCATAAAGTCGGGGGTCACAAAAGAAAGTATGAGCTCTAGGCTATAGCTTATGTAGATTATACGCCACCAGGGGCTCCTCTTGGAAGAAACTGTAGACTAGGCCAAACGAACAAGTCAGCTGTTGCAGAACTCGCACTCTGTTCGAAAATACGGAACTTATTGCCTCCGACCAGGGATACCATAGCCGACTGGTACGAGAGTTCAAGAATAGCAAACAGCATGACGGTAGGTAGAAAAGGATCAACGAACGTTATTGACATTTTACCAAATCCAGGTACAGGTTTATCACACCAGACTACCTGAGTCAACATAAATGCGCCGTAATATTCAGTTGCCGGAAATATTAACTCAGGATATACAAACCTTTGCATGAGCATGAGCTAGCCACTCATGCCAGCAAAACGTCAGAGATAAATTCCAAAAAACCACGGCCTTCAAACCCGGAAAATACTGACACTGAAAACCTCGGCAGCCAAAACCTTAACCATTTGGTCAGAATGGTATAACATACAGTGTGTAAAACCCAAATGGAATAAATTCATTATTTCGGTTACTGCACACATTTTAAACAATCCCGAAACACGTCAAATGAAAATTATTATTTGACATTCTCCAACATGACAGGTACAACCCCCAATTTTTTAAATGGGAAGTATAGGTTTGTGATATATGGTATGAAAGGTCTCTCCATTCTCTATTCAAAAATGTTATCGCTTTCAAGTTTATTTATTGCAACAAACAGACTAAGTACACTTATCAGAAAACATAACGTTTTCTCATTGGATGATATTGTTATCCAAAATGTACATCATTNAACGGTATTCAAATGACAATTGAAAAGTTAATGTTAACAGCCTCCGTTCGTTAAGATTTTTTAACGGCCAGGAGGCCGTTTCACAATTTTCATATTCTTTTTGATATCGCTCTTGAGTTGTTGTCGACAGTAAATCAACACTCGCTGCATATGATTCCCCCAATATTTCTAAAGAAATTTGTTTTGTTGCTCAATTTTTTCAATTTCATCAATGGTACGTGGTACGTGGTTTGTTCTTTCCTCGAAATCAAAATGTAATCTTTCACCGATACTACGAATATTCAACCTCACCCTTTATTTGCTACATATCGACTTTGTAACGTTAATAACTATATCAGATGTGTCAGCTTTCATCCACTTATTTACATTAATTCAAAATATTAAGAGCTTGACCCCAAGTACTGAAAAATATTTTATCACTTGAAATTTAGTAATTTAGCAGATGTTGTGAATAACAATAGCCATATCTAATATGAACCGCATAAACATCTATTTTGAGTTGTTGCTTAATATGCAAAACATAATTTTAAATAAGAATGTTCTTTATTCATTTGATCCCTACCGCAGAGAAGCACTTGGATTCTAAATCATGATTTACTCTAAATTACTCACAAGGATGAATGGATAAATAACACCTACTACGTGGAGATGAAAAGGACGCATTAATTGAAGAACGTAGAAGTTGAAGAATGTAGAGAATATTGAAGTTGAAAAACATAGACTTGATTGAAGGTTCAACTCGAATTCATAAAAACATTTCACAAAACTCTATGTACTTGATACCAATAATACCAATGTGAAAGCAAGTAGACAATGTATATGTGTGTGTGTTCAATTCTTCAAACTATAAATGGGTTTTTTTGGTACCTTGGGAGCTGTCTGACTTGTCCATTTAGTCCAAGTCTCCA